AAGGCTGCCGGGGTTACATAGTGAGTTCAAGGACAGCCTGGACTACATAGTGAGACCTGTTTCAAAAAACAAATGAAAAACAAAACAAAACAAAATAAAACAAAAAGATACACAATGCTAGGGCAGACAATAGCCTAGTTCAGGGCATCAGGGGAGGAAACAAAACTTTTCTTCCTTTATCTTCGAAATAGTATATAAAAATAGTTTTTTAAAAACCAAAAACATTGTCTTTTGATTAAAAACTTTTTCTTTCTCTGAAACCTCTTGGGTCACATGCAGTAGGATCAGCAAGGACCGTGGATGATTCTCCTCTTTGAGTGGCCAGTGACTAATTAATTTGAAGGAATCTGGCATTTGCACATTATCCTATTTCCCTCTCTAGTCTATTATTTATGATTTCATAGAATAATGGATCATTTTCTTTTCTTTCTTCTCCTGGCTGCCTGCCAGGCTTTGCATACAGAAAAAGAAAGAAGCTAAAACTTCATGGATTAGCCTGCTTTAATACAAGTGGAGAGACTATATCAACCCTGGACCTATCATCATAAGCCTTCCTAGAACTATAACATTATATTAAGTGCCAGCAAGTAATCAAAGTCAGAGCTGAAATTTTAATTTTGACAGCAAAAATACATTTGAAAATGTAAGATTTGGATAAAATACTAATGATATTTTGGGCAGGTTAATCCCTCTGATACATAGAAGCCATAAAATGAGGTTAATGACATGTGCCTCATTAAACTGCTGAGAATTTCAGTAAAAAAACACAAGAAAAATGAAAGAAAAAAATGATGCTCATGTAGTCGTAAATGAGGAAGTCATAAAAATGTGCTATACACGGTCTTCCAGAAATATCTTTCCAATTTATTTAGTGGGGAGTCCCTCCCCCTTCATGAGGACTTTTGATTTTAGAATATTGACTCAAAGATAAACTTCAAATAAAATTAACTTTCTTGCAAGATCCTGTTCCATATATCAAGACACACTGATAAGAAGGGTTCTAGAAAGGCTGAATATACCAGTTTCTTGAGGTTTCAGTGTTGTAGGAAATCCTTGTTAGCTCGTCAGCTAATTCAAGACTATCTGTTAATGTTTTTGTTTGTTTGTTTGTTTTTTCCTGGAAGAGTACTGGAATAATACAGTTTTTGTTTGTTTGTTTGTTTTTTGGTACCGGGGATAGAACTCAGGTCCTTGCGCTTGCAAGGCAGGCCACTGAACCGCTGAGCTAAATCCCCGGCCCTGGAATAATACAGTATTATGTAAAGCAAAATTCTTGTAGGATGCTTGTGATTTTTAAATTTCTGAATTTTCTTCAATTTACATAATAATCTTCACAGAACCAATATTCTGTTGTAAAGTTATGAGGGTGAATCTCTTGGTAAGTTTCCAATGTTCACACAATGAGTGTTTTCAGATCACAAATGTCCAGTTTATGTCTCCTCCAGTTCAGCAAAAATAAATATGAGACAAGTGTCTCTTCAGTGTAATCAACCTGGAAATTATGGTTTTGATTCACTGAAGAAGTTCATGGCTCTATCATGCTGCCTTTGCACTTTTCCTTTATCTTCAACTCTTAAATTTTCATTAGCTCTTATTATACAATAAGATAAGTAAGGGAGGATTTGGATCTCAAATAGTAACATTTATCTTCCAAAGAATTGAAAATGATGCCTAGAGGACTGAATGGAGAGAAATAGAAAGAAAATAAAACCATAAAAATCATTGAGTAATCTCTTATTCTCTAACTCCCATCTACCTGTTAACTACCTAGTGTGGAGTGAACTCAGCCAATTTATATATTCTGCTCAACGCTGCCAGTTAACACCCAACAGACATGGGAAATAATTAGTATATATTATCACTACTAAAACTAACTCTAGCTTAAAGAAAAACTTTGAGAATTTATATAGGTTAAAGCAGAAAAAGGCAGGAATGTACCTTATGGCAGTGAGAAAAGAACACAATTGCTAAATATTTCTTGCTGTAGTTCTCCATATTTGAAACAGATACAAAAAATATGTAGAGCTATACTCTAGCTGAGTGCCACTAGATGTATTAACAAATACATTTTAAAATAATACTTAGGAATAAAAAAATTGTTTTGCATTTCTCTTTACTATCTTTTTAAATTACCAAAGTGAAGAACTTTGCCTAGATGTTGCTAGAATTTCCCTGCTTTGCTAGCTATTCCATAATAACACAGCCTTAGAAATCCATATCATGAAAACTCATACTATGGATCTGTACTTACTCTAGCAGAGTGGCTTAAAGGGTTAAGAACATTAACTCATACTGAAAAAATGACAGTTTATTTGAGAGAGCATACAAAAAGAAGAACTAATCAGGAGTGCAAAGCACAAAGCAAAAGTGAAGCATTCTACACATTCTTAGTGAAAACACTTTGGAGCTTGTGATGAGAACTGCAATTTATTACTGTGATCACCAATAATGTTCACATTTTCAAATCTGATGAGCTTTTCAATTCAGTGACAGTTATTTAGATTAGTGCTCATGCCAGATGGTAAAAGTTGCATTTCATGAGACACCTGAATGGAAATTCTTGAAGCCTTAACCTAAGGACTCTATGAAGGTAAGTGGCCACTGTTTACTTACCCATAATTACAATTTGCATCACCATATGACACTGACTAATGAAGTAACACACACGTGCACATACAAACATACACGAACATACTTACTTTATTCATAAAAGGACAAATGATGAGATATTAGCCATTTGGATATTATGATTAAGATGCTGAAGGTGCTCTAAATTTAACATTCATTTGTCTATAACATAGAAGACCACAGCATTTTTTAGCTGATTTTTCAGTACACAGTGACATTTTATTTCTAATTTTTTAAGAAACTAAATTATTTTGCAGTGTATTACAAATTCTAGTAAAATGAAAATATCCTAGAGTCCAAGTGGTTAGATATGTGGCTTATTATGTGTTATAAAATGAGGATAAGATTCAAAGGATCTGTATACATAGAGGAAGACTTTCTATATGGCTACAATTTCTCTATGCAACTATTTGGATTTGCTTTCACTTACACAGGCCAATAGTAGCAATCCTATGGCACGTGTGCTGCTGTGGGCTAACTGTATCATTGCAAGCTCTAAAAGATTTGTCATCACTGGAGGAAGTCATCTAAATTTTCAACAGGCACCAAGAATAAAATCATATATGCTATATTTGCAGGTAAAATACTCACTGAGAACAAGAATATATTTGTTACCAGGTATAATGGTTAATTTTATGTCCACTTGATTGGAATATATGGTACCCATATATGGGCTCATTGCATCAATTGATAGTCTAGATAAGATAAAAAGGCTTGGAAAGAAAAAGAGAACGTTTCTTGCCTCACCACTTGCTCTGGAGACTTTTCTATTTATTTGTTTTTCTAGTCTATATACCCTGACTGAGACACTGGTACTTCTTCAGTCTCTGTGCTGCTGCATTTCAGATGCAACTTACACTATGGATATAGTCTGGAACCACACATCACAATTGCCGAAGACCTTGAGACTTTCCTGCCTCCGTAATCGTGTGAGGCATTTCCTTATAATAAGTGCTTATCTTTCCTTAGATGCACACACAGCTTATGCCTGATTCTTGAGATCCCATCAAGTGTTGCTGAGAACTGGTGAACACTGCAGAGTGAAGCGCTGAGGTCAAATGTGACTGTGCCCCCTTGTGGGAATGGACACCCTATTCATCACTTGACAGAAAACTTATTTTTTTTTCACCTTATAGTAAAAGGAAGGAAAGTAAAGTACTGTGAGAAAAAGTGAGGTCTGGTAATTAAGCACGAGGATTGCACCATCCTCTTAAATTAGTAAAAATGTTTTTCTTACAGTCTGTATAACTTTAAGAATGTCATTTCACTATTCTCTATCTTAGATTTTTAAAATGTAATGTATGATGGTATATACTTCATAGATGAAAATTATAGTATATACTTTGTAGATGTGCTATGAGAACAAAAGAGCTCAATGAATGTTTCTGTTGTCATGTGATTTAAATTCTGAGCTATTCCTCCCTTAGGTGGTCATTCCATTCAAATATTGCTTCACCGAAACTGATTTGAGCCTTGTTTTGCTTTCTCTATGTAGCAGCCGTAATAATATGAACTTATGGCCAAAGTTAATATGACCTGTGTATATCCAACAGTAGAAATTAATTACTTCATTTATAAGAAAGGGGTTTTAAAACCCATGTTTAAAACCCAGGAGAATGCCACACAATAACCAATAGAACTTTTAAAATTTACGAATGCTAGAAATTCACCCCTGTCCAAACACATCAGAATCTGGACAGAAAGAATACAACCCATGTGAATGCTAAAATCATGATTGGTTTGTTGGACTTTCATTACAAGCTGTTAGATAATTTTTGTGGTTTAGAGTATGTGTAATATTTTGTATTTCTAATAATTTTAATCTAACATCTAGCATATTTTAAAGGAATCTTAAATTGTTTAATTAAGTTTTAAAAACTAAAGTGAAAACAATAACATTTTCTCTCTGGATTAGATTCTTACATGGAATAAAGCCAACTAACTAGAATACAGGGATCCAAACAAGATCCCCCACTTCATCGATAATTTCATTACTGACCAGACCTGTCACTGCAGACACCTGGTAGTCTTTAAGAGATATCTTCGCTTCTTTGAATAAATCCTCACCAAAATATTTACAACAGTTGACCTTAAGGCAGTGTATGTTTAAAAAAAAAATCTTCCCAAGCACTGAAGAAATAAATAACTGAGTTCAAAATATTCACTAACAAAAACAAGGGAGCGCATGTAAACTCATACTCAGGCTGTATCCCTCATGTTGGCAACGTAGTCCCTGGGAACTGAGACAAATATGTCCAGCCTGATTTCGGGGACTTTATAGAAACGACATGCATGCTGAAGTACGCATAATAGCTCTTGTATTTTTCTCCCAGTGAAAGTCAATGAGCAATGATCTTTCTTCCACAACTTACTTTGATTTCTTCATGTACAGCCAGTACACAACTCCAGCAACAAGGGCAGCGAGGAGGAGACCGACAACAATTCCCACAATTAGCTTTGCCTGGTCATTCACCTTCTCTCTGTTTTCATCTACAACATAGAAAGAAAAGAAAAATCCAAGCAATTCAGACAGTGCTAAGTTGGTTTTTTAAAAGATAGTCTAGTTGTTACTTCATATTAAAAATGACTATGGCTCACTATTATGATTAACATGCAAACTTGTGATTTTAAAGGATAAGATTTTGACATTCTTGCTATCTTGTCTCATTTTGTATTTTAAATCAAGCCAAAATTGTGGACTGCTAAAAATTTACTTATATGGTGACACTTTTGAGCTAACATACAAATTCTGAGCTAATAGTCAAGGAAAGAAGTGGGCAGCATAGTACCTACCACTTATCTCGTCTGCCTCATCGTGTTCTGGAATACTTACTGAAATGAAAAATGTTAATATGAAATTAAAAACAAAATATGTTGATATATGAAAGTCACCTTTACCATTATAGTATGATGTTATAACAGTCAGATAAAATGTCTATTCTACAGCTAAGGACAAAAAAAAATCACACTTAATAGATAATGAACTTCCCTATAAAGAAATTAGTCTTAAGGAAAGGAGAGTAGTTAAAATGCAAAGCTATTAATCTACCAGGGAAATTTTCACAACTCACAGGCTGTAGTACTAATCTGAAATCATATTAATTATCCACTATCTACCACCTTCTCATAGTTCTTAGGAGGAATAATTTGGCAAAAAGGAAGTCTACGATGCTGCATTTCTACTTTTCTCAAATTTTACTGTCCCCATGCAGGAGAATTAATTTTTATCCTCTAGTGTCAAGGAAGTCTTGACCACCAGAGATGTTTTCAAAGTGGGGTGGGGACGGAAGTCAAAACTTGGCATGCGCTGGAAATAAAGAAGCACATACTGTAGGTGATTTTTGCAAAAGCCTTTCAGATAATTCTGATAGTGTCATGCTTTCAGCCTAATTTAAGAATCACTGTTCTTGCTATGCATTCTCATCCGACTATAATATCCAGCCATAAAATTATTCCCCAGAATGTATGGGCCTGCATCAGAACTGTCTCTGATGACTGGTAAAATGAAGGGTCCTCCTAATACATACTAAGGAATCACAGGATGTGCTCACTGAATTTGGAAATAATTGTGTAAGTGTTGATCAAGGAAACTACTTGATGGTACAGAAAACTGAAGCAGCTCATTTGATGGGTTAGACCAAAAAAAAGTGACTTGTGTTCAGGAAGAAAGGACAGGATCCCTTTCAAATCAATGCTTGTCAAATTTCTGAGAAGTCAATGTTCCTGTCTTAGAGTTGAATTTGTTTTGTCTCCTTTCCATCCCTCAGGCCTTTAAATTCAAGTCATAATCTATTAGGGACCATTATCTGTATGCAATTATTTTCTGCTGGCTCCCACTAATTCCTAGCTGTTACATCCATCATCTGTTAATGTCACATGCAGGGTTCCAAAGAATAAAAATGGGGCAGGTCAGTTAACATCCTATCCCAAAATGAATTCACTGTAGGCCAGTCCTCAGTTAAAGTTGTCATATGATGGGAATAACAACAGAACAGAAGATGGAGGACAATTTCATATTATGGCCTAAGCGTTTCAAGAAAAACCTAACATTATTATACATGTATTATCCTGATTTCAGCACTGACATGTTTTTCCATTTTCCCTGAGATAATTCTGCTTATCTGATTTGGGCCATGACTCAAAAATGACATGAAAAAAGAAATTTTGAAAACTAGATTTTATGAATTCTAATGTTAGTTTTGTTATTAATTTACTGAATGACATTAAGCTTGTAGTATTTCTGTATAAGACAAGGATAAATACCACAAAGAATTGGAATGGTAAATAATTGACAACTAAAGTTTTGCCAAATTTAAAACTTTTACAAAAAATTCAAAGATAATTTTTTAATGATTTCTACTCTAAACAAAAACATGGGTTAAATAAGAATAATTTATTTCTTATTTTCTATTGCTCTTGGGAAATATTCCTGTATAGGAGAAAGTCTCTTTGTCTCAAAACATGAAATGATTTAACTGTCAAGACAAGAATATTATAAGAATGAAAACCAGGAAAAAAAGAAAAAAATCTATGGTGATGATACCAAATGCAAAATAAATAAATAAAACTTACCATAATGTAGTACAGGAAGATGGAATTGAAGATTTTAAACTAATGAAGACTAACTTCATATTTTCTTACTTTTTTAATGCCAGAAATGAAATACTCACTAGCAGAGACATTCAAGGAGTTTACTGTTCTCTCCAGCTGGTTTTCTGCTGTGCAAGTTAAGGTAACATTCTCTTCAGGGGAAATGATAATTTTACTATAATACCTGCCATTGATGTAAGGAGATTCCTCTGTCTGGAAAGAAAGGAGGAAAGTTTAGAATGGAACATTATTTTACAAGCCAGAAAAAGAGCGTTGTGGGTGAGGAGGACAGGTGTGTGATGCTCTGCAGTGTTTTCCGGTGTCCACGTAAGAAATGGATCGAGACTACTCACACTGATACCTACCAAGGTAAGAAACACATTAGTGAAGTCACAGGGAGGTATCTGTTGATGCTTCTATTTCAATGATAATAATCAATCACTTTTTTTTAGTGGATGCACAGTTTAGACAAGATGACATTTGTTTTTAAAATAGTTATAATTAAAATAGTTATTATCTAATTATCAGTGTTCATTCAAAGAGCTTTTAAATTTAATTGTTTGTGGATATGGTCACTGGTCTTTACCACAAACATCAATTCCCTTATCTTCAAACATTATAAAGCATATGAATGTAAAATGTGTTCATCATAAATAAAAGTTTCCCCATAAATTATTCTGTGCAAACTCGATAGAATTTAACTAAAAATGGACTGTTGAATGCATTTTACTTTTGTGAGCTGTGAATGAGAGCAATCATTGCATCGAATTCCTTCTAATGTAAGAAACTATTCACTTTACTCTCATCCCCAGGATTTGATTCTTAAACCCAACAAGATTGAAGGAAGGGTGCACTTGCACTCTGGTTTTGCTCATTTTTTTCATATTATGTCCAATTTTGTTCACTGTTTGCCCTCTTTTTAACTGAACTGCCCTTGAGGACAGGGCTGGGCTATATATATTTTTTCAGCTTTAATTGAGTTTATTGGTACATTTTAGGGATACAGTACAGTTACATTCATTGTTGGGATCTTGTACCTTTACATGACAAGTCTTGGTTCTCATTTTTTCCCCTTGTCCCTGCCCTCCCTTCACCCCCTCCTCCCCTCCCCATCTACAAACACTTTATTTCCATCTTTTCATTGTATCACATTTTTTTCTTTTCCCTTATTACCCTTCCCCTACCCATCCCACCTTCCCTATACCTTGAGCTTCTTTCTTCCCATTTCTCAATGTCAGTAATCTTATAGGGCTGGGATATATTTTATTCCCCATGGGCAGAGGAGGCATAGAGACACCTTGTACTTATAAAATACTACATTCATCATATATTTGAAGAGGGAACAAATAAAAAGGTTATGGATAGATCATCACAGTCCTAGAGCAGGAAACATAACATACCATCTAGTGGGCCAGAATCAATCCTTCCTGAGATGAAGAATGGCATTGTTATTTTTATCCTCTTAAATTTACCTGATATTTTACCACTTCTCACTAGGATTTCTAATAGACTTTCTCACTAAGTGTTTCTGTGACTTTAATCTCTAGAAAATGTGTTTGCTCATTTCTAGAATGGCTTTTTAAGTATTTATATTCTTTCATCAGATATTTATTTGGTGCTTATTTTTCAATTTTCTATGCCAGCATTACCAGTACCTAGTTGTGCTTATCACTTGATTGAACTAGAGAGCAAAAAGAACAGAGGAGAAAAGAAATATTTCTGCCCTTTTAGTATTTGATGTTAAAAAACAGATCTGAACATTGTCAGAAATTGAGGCCTTTATAGTGGATCAAGAAAACTGCATTTCCATAAGCTTATGAGATCACTTGCCTCTCTGCCCTCCATGCTCTGGCATGGTCTCTCTTGTGTGTATCTGTTACACTTAACCAAATCCCAACTTATTTGCTTCAAGTGTGACCACTCCTTTTGGGCCTTTCCACACCGGTACTCAGGCAACTATATATGTAAACACCAAAATCTACCTTTCTCTGCACTGTTATATCACATAAGCTGAACAAACTCCCAGGACAGAAGAAAAGTGGAGATTTTTACTTTAAAATTAATTTGCAGTGGTTTGCTTTATACCGGTCTTCTCAAATTTTAACTGGATTTAAATCTGGGAAGGAAGCAGGACAGGAGATTCAAATAATTGAATTGTATCTGGATACTCTTAAAGAGTCATAAATGGTTTTCTAAAATGAGGAGGCACACATATTATTGTAGACACAATGGAATTAACTAGTAGGGTGGTAATCCAAGGAGATTGGCAATTTAATGGGATTATATTTCTGAATTCACATCCCAGAGTAATAGGTCAGATTTTATTTTATTTTTAGGGGGGAGGGTTATAGGCAGTATTAAGAGAAAATTACCAGTAGTGTTCATAAGTTCTTAGGCCTTTACTATAGCTAAAATATCTTACAAATGGTACAAAGATTTGTGCTCTCTTGTCCAGAAGGCCACAACGTAGATGCAATATATTCCTTGCTTTATTCTGGCCCTCTCTCTGGCAAAATGGCGCAATGGCAATATGGGCAAATCATACCATATGTTTCAAACTGGAGCTCTGTTTGTCATTAACCTCAATTTTAAGTGGAAAACTCCCTTAATGTACATAAATAAGCAATGTAACGGAGGCTACTTCTACTCAGATGTGTAAGTTTATAAAGCAGAAAAGTATATAGCTTAGCTTTATAGTCATCCAAGTTTCAGGAATTACTTAGCCTATGAAGAAACTCCCAATGTGAATTCTTTCAAAAACAGATTCTGACTACAACATAAAGTTTCCTCTATTCTCGGTGGCCTTGAGATTTAAAATTTCTTTGAGCCATATTCTTCCTTCATAAAATTAAGAAGTTAGCAAAAGCTGTCTCACAGAGTGGACTGCAAATTTCATGTGGTAGCAAAAAAGCCTACATTGTAGGTATCTAAATAAAATTCCACAATGGACCAAGTGCAGCACATAACAAGAAGATAAATACTTGCTTGGTTTATGACGCTTCCACTGCCAGTAATTGTCCATTGTATAGCTGGCTTTGGGAAACCTTCCACATGGCAGATTATTGTTTTAGACAGTCCACTGGGATCAGTTTTCTTTGTCATTTTGATTTGAGGTTTTCCTAAAATGTCACAATTAAAGTATGGCAGTGAATTAAAATCATCAGAGAGAACAGATATCAAATTTTTAAAGAAAAATTTGAATCGGTGCCGAAGTATTTACTACCTTCTACAATAAGAGTTAATGACTCTCTTTTCTTTAGTCCTTCAACCTCTTGCAGAGCAGTTTCACAAACGTAGTTTCCAGCATCCTGATAATGAAGACTAGAAAATGATGGGCTTGATCGAAGCCTGATGTTGTCCTGATTAAATAAAAAGTAAATGATTGCACAGAGCACATATTTAACATCAGCACATTTATTATATAATAACTAAGCCTAAAACTAGTCTCCTAAATCTAATGAAAACACAAGCAATTATTTTCTCAAGTTTCAGATGCTTTTAAAGTAGAAGTTGTGGTTTTTCTATAAAATGGAATATTACTCAGCCATAAAGATCGAGAGAATAGATTCATTCATAGGAAAATGGGTACATATTGAAGATATACTCCTAAGTGAAATAAATAAGTCCCACATGTGTAAATACCAAATAGTTTCCCTGGTGTGAATATTCTGCAACAATGCATAAGATTCTAATAAGATTACTGACATTTAGAAATGGGAGGAAAGGAGCTAAAGGTGTAGGGAAGGTGTGATACGTAGGGGAAGAAAAAAAGGGAAAAGAAAAAAATGTGAGAGAATGAAAAGATGAAAATAAAGTGTTTGTAGATGGGGAGGGGAGGAGGGGGTGAAGGGAGGGCAGAGGTAAGGGGAAAATATGAGAATCAAGACTTGCCATGTAAAGGTACATGATCCCAACAATGAATGTAACTGTACTGTATCCCTAAATGTACCAATAAACTCAATAAAAAAAAAAAGTAGGTTTCTTTTTTCCTTTGTAGTTCTAGTGTCAAACGTACAAGAGCTATATTTCAGATTCTTCTGCTATGGAACTGATAATTGGGAACATGTTCATAAAATTATGAGACTTGGGTTCCTTTATTTGTGAAGCAGGTTTATTATTTTTTTTACCATACTGAATTGTTGTGAAGACTAAATTATATAAATAATGCAATGTATTTACATTATTAAGGATACATTTTAATTTTAGTAGATATAGAATTATCAGATAAATGCTCAAGGACATAGATGTAAGCAAATACTTCATGAACAAAACCTCAACCACATGGGAAATGCTACAAAGAATCAACAACTGGGATCTCATCTTATTAAAAAGCTTTGGAGGGATCGGGATTTAGCTCAGTGGCACCATGCCTACCTTGAAAGCACAAGGTCCTGAGTTCGATCCCCAGTACCAAAAAATAAAAAATAAAAAAATCAATAAGAAGCTTTGGAACATCAAATGAAAACACCAATAGGGTGAAAAAACAACCCACAGAGTGGGAAAAAATTTTAGCCAATTGTTCCTCAGAAAAAAGAGTAGTATTTGGACATATAAAATTTTTTAAAATTAAGACTCACTAAATTTAAAGACCCAGTCCAAAAAATGGGCATATGAAATGAATACATACTTCTCAAATGAAGAAGTAGAAATGACAAATAAATACATGAAAAGGTTCAACATAACTGGTCATTCAAGAGATGCAAATTAAAGCAATGTTGAGATTCATTTTGCTCCAGGAAGAATGGCTATTATCAAGAAATCAGCCAACAACAAACCCTGGCTGGGCTAGGGGGGAAAAGGAACACTTTCTTCACTATTGGTAGGAGTACAGACTGGTAGAACCACTACAGAAATCATCTTGGAGATTCCTCAAAAAACTAGGATTAAAGGTCCCACTTGACCCAGCTATTCCCCTTCTGAGTATCTTCCCCAAATAATTAAAAACATCACATCACAGTGATATATGCACAGTTATGTTTATAGCAGGACAGTTTTTAATAGCGAAATCTTGAAAACAATTGAAATGCCTATTGACTGATGAATGGATTAATAAAGGTGTTCTTTTTAAAATATATAATGAAGCACTATTCAGCCATAAAGAAGGATGAACTTGAAACATTTCTAGGAAAATGGATGAAGCTTCAGACCATACTCTAAAGTGATATAAATAGAACACATGTGTAACTATTGCATTGTCTTTCTGGTGTGAGAAACTTAAAGTGTAATTAATAACCAAAATGTATAACTAATACTATGAAATAGAAAAAATTATTCAAAATTATACCAAGTGCAAGACAGTTTGTTAATAATTAAAATGTTTTATACAAAAAGTAAATGAATTGATAGATGGATTAGCAATTGAAAATATATTCTTTTAAGATTACAATACACAGCATATCTACCATTGTTATTCTCTAATTAGTTTTGTTATGAAAAATTATTCTTTCATAGAACTCTTTATATTTTCTTTTTTATGGTCTACTTATATTACATTAAAATAAAAAATCTTAAAAAGATTAGAAAGTAGACAATAAAGTAATACAAAATAATTTATATTTTCATTAAAAAAACTCTAGCAATAAATTCATTTCTAATTTTTCTACACTTGATTTTAGCCAAAAGGCCAAGAAGAAATACATTTATAATTTTCTATAGATAATTCTTGTGAGCCACCATTCAAATGGTACATTCCTTTGTAAATGCTCCTATTACATGACATGCTCTGGTACAAATACACTGGATATTTTGCTACAAGCTAAAGATTTAAGTGTAGGAACTATAGTTACATCCCTTTCTTTTAGTGATCACTTTTTCACATATCACCAAATATTAATCCTATGGCCCCATTCTAAGAATGATAGCAGGGATTAGACTCCCAAGTCATGGTCTTGATTTTTATTTCAGATTATTAGATTAATATAAGCTCTCATTTAGGAATATTAAAGTCCTAGGTATGTACTACTATGGCCCTGGCATGAAAAAGGATTTCAAACTTGCAAATTTGCTAGTACAGCAGAACCTGCGTTCAGAAACTTAAGGGGAATATAGCAACAGCGAAGTAAAAAGTGTGTGATAACACCAGAGGATTTACATTCAAGATCTGACCTTGAGTCTCGACTCTCACACTTATGAGCATTCTGATTTCTCTTGCCTCAGTTTCTTTATAAATAACTGGAGGAAATAATAAATGATCTGCATATTTAATGGGGCTATAATAAACTTCATGTGAGAACATGAGTTAAGACATATTGAAAATTATTGAGTCATAAAATATGTTAAGTGTGTGTTTGTGTGAATGCATATATGCATGTGTTTCATTATTTAGTATATACTTATAAAGTAATGCACTAAATCAAGTTTCAGAGGATCAATTATGGATTCCATACTGTTGAGAAACTCTAGTGTTTTATCATAGTTTGATTTGTGTATATATCTGTTTGAAAAAGAGAGAGACACAGAGAGAGAGAGAGAGAGAAGTAGGTAAAGAGATACACATACTGAGAGAATGAGTATGAGCAGAAATGCTATCCATAAATGTACATATTTAGATACAATATTAAATGCAAAAGAACTCTAAAAAGAAATCATCCAAACAGGACCATATCAAAAATATTACTTACTTTCATCCAAACCACAGTTGCATTCCTACTAGCAGATATTGTGCACGACACAGGTAGGGTATCGCCAATCTGCTTGGTCACTTCCCCACTTGGCTTTAAGGATAAATCCAAATCTGTGAAGCAGAAAAGCTGCTTGAGATACAAATTCTTAGGAAGGTAAGAGACTCAAAATACTCGTGACAAGAAAACAGGAAAGCAAAGAATCCTTCTAACTGCACTTGAAAAATGCAGAACTGATTTACTTGCCTAAAATGACTAATTTTTCAAGCCAGGTTTGAGATCTGTGGACAAATAAATGGCCAATCTAATTAAGTTCATATTTGCATTACCCTAATTGATGATTTTAGAGCATATAAATATTTCTCTGGGCTTCATCACCTTAAGAAAAACTTTAAATCACTTCTGGAAGAAAATAAAGAAAGATGATGACTAGGTAAATATAAAAAGAGTTAGGTGTAAGTTTGCAAAATCATGCATTTTTGGACGGCAGGTGATAAATTGAAAAACCACAAGATAGTATATGTGTTACTTCAGAGAGAATTGACAAGTAGTTTGATATTTTTTAAAAAATGCTATTCCATTTCTTATGCTATTGAAATTTTAAATAATATCTATTATTAGGTATACTGTCAATAGATATCATTTTTTAAAAAAGCATAAATATATCTAAGTGTGCACAGTCTTTCAGATGAAAAATGATTTTTCATAAAAACATTACCTTCTTAGTATGATCTATATAAAGAAAATTTAATTCAAGTGAACAAACATTTATTCTAAGCAATTATGTCCCAAGTACTTACTAATGGTAACTAGATGAGTAATGACCTTACAACTTAACGAGGGAGAAGTAATTACACTTAACTGACTGTAACCCTTGCCCCAAAAAATCAGTACCTAGAAGCAAATGAGGAACAAATTAGAAGCTCAATAAATATTTGTTGAAAGTTTAAAGACAGGGCCTTTATAGATGTATAAATAGAAGTACAAAGACATACTAGAGTTTAGAGAAGAGCCAATTTGGGTTCCAAAGCAGAAACAGTGGCCCTGTATGGGAGGTATTATTTTTCTGTGGCCCCTCATGGTTGAGAAGGGCTTTGAAAGGTGGAAATGTTGGGAATATTTTGCCACATAAGCAAAAGCAAAACAGTGCGAGAGCTTGGCAGGTTTCATGATGGTGAATAACCAGGTGCAACTGGTGTTAACTTACGGAAGGCACATCTATACCAGATTAGCGGGGCCAGGGTACAGAGGGTCATTTTTGCTACACTGGGACTTAGGATTTTATTCTATGGTGTCAAAGTTTGGTATTGTACTTCATGCTTCTCCCTGGTTTTACACGTTTTAGTTGAAATTGATTGATTGTAACATTATCTTCAATGACTGTCTCTCCTCAAAGACTGTAAGGAACAGGTGGATATTGACCATGGCTTGATTCTCCTCTAACTTACATAAGAGCCTGGCATATGACAGCCTCTCATGAATGAAGGGAACAAGCATACTCTCAGTTTCTCATTAATATTCACAATGTACCATCATATAGGACTGTGAAGTTTGCTCAGAATATTTGGGTGAATTGTTCTGAGGTGAAATCATTTTTCAGGATAAGTTAGGAGTTTTTATTAGCTATCTAGTTAGCTTTCCTGGGCTAAGATAAATGATTTTAAAGGACAAAGATGGACTTTGAAAATCCTGATGAAGAATCTATGTGTGCATGAGTTGGCAGAGGAGTGGTAGCTATTTCATCAGCAATGGGTACCTGTAGGGTGGGAGCTTTGTGAACAGGGCTGCTCTGCATACCCAGAAATGTGAGAGCTGCTGCTTCTCATTTATGAAAGGTAAACAAAGTTAATTTTTGGAAAATAAACAATCAAGGATAAACAGGAAAATAGGAATTTTGTATTTGCATGTACTGTACACGGAGTAAAATGTCAATTGACTTGCAATACTTATTTCTGTTTTAAAGAGAAATACATGCCTTAAAAATCATTATTATAGTCAATCTGTGCAAAGCAGAATACATTTAAATCTAATTAAATGTCCTGAAATTCAATTAAGCTATAAATGTTTTGTTTAATTTCTCCCCATCACAGCTGATCAAGACACCGTGAGGTGCCAATAAGTCAAAAGAAGCCTTGTTAATCTTCTATCTGTCCCTGCCTGATCTACACGCAATACAAAAAAGAACCCTCCTCTGTTAGAATCCTGTATACCCAGAATCTCTTAAACATACACCCCTTACAGTGTTTTAAAATCACTGGAATATTGGTGCTTGGCCCAAAATCGTAACTAGGATGTCAGAGAGTTATTCTGCAGGAAGTTCTATTTGCTGGCTATATTCCCTAGCTTTACTACTTGTTTTGGTTTTGTGTGTGTGTGTGTGTGTGTGTGTGTGTGTGTATTTCCTAGAACAGGCCCACATAAATGGATAAATGGACCCATGACTGACTGGTCCTTGGAGGAAGAGCAGCACTAGTGTTGCACAGAGTGGTCATTGCTTTCTCCCTAACCAGCCCCTGTTGGCAGATACACTCAAATCCATGCAGCATGAGTATGGAGTAAATAGAAATGGCTAACTGTGAATATTTCTTAACAGTTTGTTGATTCCACAGGACTCCCCAGGGTGCACTTCTAAAACAAGACCATGAAAAGCAACTATCTGGTTGCTTTATTCCCTAGTGCTCCCCACATCTTTCTCAAAGATTCTATCCTACATGGTTTGCAAGCATTAGGAATAGAATGTAATAATTATAATTATGTGATCAGGACAATTTCTAAAGTCTTTTTAAATTTTGTAACAAAACCACTTTATGCTCAGTTGGGTTTAGTGGATCTTCTCTAGAGGAAATCTTACTGGTGGTACCACTGGGTACAAAGAGATTACTGGAAAGTTTAGACAACATGTCTAAGCAAGACTGGCCCTTGTCCTGACCAAGATATAGGAGGTACATTAGTAACAGGACTGTTAGAAATTTCAAACAAAGAACTCAAGTAACATGTCTTATTTTTATGTATCTTTTTTCCTCATGACATGCACGAGGGCCAAATAAAACTTTTCAAGTAGCTAGAGATCAAAGCAGGTTAAATGTTTAATAAAAAGATATATTTAAGATGATTTTTAAGAAGTTATATTTCTTGAAGTTTGTTATCTTTCTCTATGAAGCAAATTCTGCCAACAATGGCTTTTAATCATTCCTCTTACAATGGCCCAGTCTATAATTGGTAACTTTGTTTTGCTTGAGTTTGTGTACTAACATTATTCTGTAATACAACAAATGCTTCATCTACGTCTATATCTTTCCAGGCCAACTACAAACCTTGTGAACTTCAAGAATATCTAGATAGAGGGTGGGGTGTACCTCAGCGTTAGAGTGTTTGCCTAGCAGGCATGAGGACCTGGGTTCAAACCCCAACGCTTTTTTAAAATACGTAATGAATTTCTCTAAGGTCCACATGAACATTACTTATTAATCCAATGAACCGAAGACCTTGTGAAAGTAGATGGAGGTTAAACACTGCAAAGTTGCAGTTACCAGAGCCACACAAGGATCCAATACTGTAGTATAAATTGAACTTCTTTTGATGCCCTTTTCCAATTCTACTGAAGCCAAGTTACTCAATAAATATAGTGTGTAGCTGCAACTTATTTGGAAAGACAGTCACATTGTACTATTGGAGGCTTTTGAAGTGAGACTGGTAATGAAGAAGGTGACTTACAGTGAACTGTGATGGCTGTTGAAGCAATCATGTTCTTGTCTATCAGGGAGCATTTGTATTCTCCTGTTGCATTGCGCCTCACATCTGTCAGTGTGTAAGTATTTGAGCTTCTTATTCCTTCAGGTTGTCCCTTTTGACAGAAGCAAAATGTCAGATGATTACACTTGGTAGCTACAATGAGAACAGTTATATTTCTTGATGAAAATGGCATTTTCTCAGAGAAAGAGAAAAAGTAAATGTGATTCTTTAGACAAAAAAAGTAAGATTTGTGCTACCAACATCTGCATCTTATAGAAAAAGCTTAATATTTAAATTATAAGGAAATTTGAAGAACTTACATTTTACTGATAACTATTTCATTGAAAGCATGTGTTTTAGTTTTAGTAGTCCAATATCTTATTTTTATTTGTTTGTTTGTTTGTTTATTTTTGTTTTTTGGTACTGGGAATCAAACTTGGGGCTTTTTGCTTGCAAGGCAGGCCGCGGCATCACTGAGTTAAATCCCTAGCCCTTATTTTTATATTTATATCTTACCTAGTTTGAAAAAATATGCCACATATCCAAATAAAAATCAAGACAAGAAGGAAGGAAAGAGTAAGGAATGAAGGAAGGACAGAGAAGGAAAAAATAAACAGAAAAAGAAAAAGAAATCAAATCAAGTAAAGGTGAAACCTAAGTGTAATAGGGGTACATGTTAACATGTTTGCCAAAGCTGAGACATAAATTTGCCTCTGTCATTCCTGATAGTAAAAGTAGAAACCTACTTAGCTTAAAAATTTCCACTTGCAAGTGAGATAAAAATAGCATGTCAACTTGATAGGTGAAACCACATTTTACATCAACATTTAAGTTTATAAGGAATTATTTACACCATTGAAAGATGCTGTGAATGCTATTCTTCAATACTTCTAAGTAACGTAGGAGATAAATCTGTCAGCACATCCCTACAGAAGCACAGTACTGAGCAGCACATGGCTTTTCTCTATGAAAAGGTGATGTCAAACACAAAGCTGTGGGAGAGGGAAGCATTCTCAGAAAGAGCTTTTTCCTAGTCCAGCTTCATACTACTGTGATATCCTAGAGGAATTTTCCACTGATGCTTGTATGTATACCATTTCTTTCAGATATAATATGGATAGAAGTTGAGGAAGTCAGATTTCACGATTATACATGATAAAAAGAGCCCACAGCAATACTCTGTCAAGTTAATTATGTGCAACAGAACTATCCCTACTTTAGAAGATAAGAGCTATATTCAGGGTGACACCACCTATAGACTTAGAATCCATTTCAGACCATGTGCTATCTTCTTTTTTCATTTTGTAGTTATCTACATCTAAAGAGCAGATTTTTATAGCTATGTGTTTAACAGTACCTTCAGTTTTTGTAATTAAAGTTTCCCATGGTCTGCTTTTTTCCTTTTTGTGTATGGAATCTTTCAATATTGGGAAAAAAGGCAAGAACACTGGCAGGTGTCATACACACTTTCAAAGGACATTGCTAGGTGGTTGCCTGTGTTCCCAAGGGCAACATTCTTGCTTAAGGTACCCAAGTACATGCAGTGCCGAATACTAGGTAGAGGCCCAGCAACAGGACAAAATGATAGTAGTTCAGCTTAAGTAAGACTTCAGTACTTACTGGCCAGTAAAACAAAAACTCCATAGGAGGAGGGTTACCATTCCCCAAGCATTTAAGAGTGATATTGTCCCCTTCTTTGATGGCATTTTTTGGTGGTAGGACTTGTATTGTCACTTGCTCTGTAGGATCTGTAAGAGTCACAGACACCATTTAACATTTTTGTCAAGTAACAAATTACTGTGCATACAATGTAAATGACTAAATTATACACAATTTTCTCAAGAAGCTAGTAATGGTAATTACTTAAGTGTATCTTTTCATAGAAGGATTGAAGTTAATAGCCACTTGCTATACCAAGTACTAATCTTAGTTAGAGCAAGCTACAAAGAGACCCTGTTATATAAAATCAATTTCTTCTAACAAAAATGTCTTTAACTGAAGTAGGAATGACTGTAATTATTTTAGGTGTAAAACACCAGTAGGAACAATCTCACTGTATGACTTCATTATAGGGAAATTTAACTATGTTATGTGAATCTTATAGTTTGGAAAGGCTAAATCAGCTAGCAAATTTCCTAAAGTTATTATGTACTGCCACACTCAATCACATAGTAATAACACCTTAGATTAAATAAAAGGAGGAAAAATGAGCTAAACATCACCACCAAGGATTCTGTTGAGTAGGCGAGTAGACGTGCTTTCAAAACAATCAGTCCGATGAACTGAGAAAGACTCTTAACATAATCAACAGGGCTGTAAATGTATTGTAATTCTGTCCTGTTTATTGGACCCAAGATGTAACTTGCAGTCCAGTTTTGTAATTTTGCAGAGAAAATAGGGCAGAGAGTATTCTTCAGTACAGGCTACTGCTCAACAATAGAAGGCTAAATAAATTAAAGGATACTGTGTGATCATATTTAGCAAACAGGAAATAAGAGGTAGTGGTGGCAATAATAAATGACTCACTTCACATTTATCCAGGTATTATATAGCTGCATAATGAAATGAACAATGAATTTCAATATTATATAATCTAAGATTTTGAGGAACTTTTTACATAAAAATTAATAACTACTCAGACATGTGTCTCTATTTTCAAATTGGTAGCATTAAAGAATCTATGAAGACCTATTTTGTTATTAGCTATTTTGTTATTATTGGATCTAGATGTCCAAAACCTCATGTGGCCATAGGTGGGGCCTTTCAGAAGTGGCTGGATCGACAATGTGTGAAGCTGGGATTAACTATGTGATTCTGGGAGCAAGAATGTATGATTACTAAATTAGTCCACTGATTGGCTTGGCATAGTTCCGGGAGTGGATGATGGGAAGGCTTGCTCTCGGTGTGAGTGCTACCTGCCCTAAGTGGGGATAGCCAGGGCAGAATATATGGGACAGAAAGAAGGCTGCAGTGGCTGCTTATCCCTTGCTGCTACACTACTTTGCTGTTTGCTGCCTTCTATTTTGTTGCCCTACGCCCATCATGAATTGTTTCTCCTGTGTGATGCTCCTTTGTCATTCCACCATACCTTGGCAACTATGAATTGAAACCTCTACAAAGTGTGAGCCAAATAAACCTTTACTCCTTTAACTTTGGGTGTCAGGTATTTTGTCTCAACTATGAGAAAAGTAACTAAGACAGCTAGTAAGTCGTCAATAAAAACAAGTGGTTGTTTTGGAGACTTCTGTCTGTTTCTTGTAGTCATGTATTTATCTTTCTACAATTAAATTGTAGAGGAAAATTTAGAGGGTTCTAGATTTTCCTAGATTTCTTGTCGTTTTTTTTCAGGCATCTCTCAATATTTGCCTAGAATATTCTGAGTAAACAGTGATTGGACTAATAGACTTTTTTGTTTGTTTTTTCCTGGATCTGCCTGAGGTAGTTCTCCAACTAGCAGTTTCCAGTAAGTTCAAAACAGCTTTTTTTAATGGCATTCAACTGACCTCCATTTTTGAGTCTTCTTCTTTGACCTGGCCCATCTCTGGCCAGCGCTAAAGTTTAGGCAGAAAGTCACTGTGGCAAATCACTGATTGAGGCTGACACTGGAAAAGCCACAGATTATAGCATGCCTATCTTCTCTATTTTCAAATGCCCCTTCTCCACATTCCTTTTTAATAGGTTCTGTTCTGTATTAGTTACTACAACATATTTTCATTTTTACAGTAACTTCCTGGGTGGCCACTAACATGCCTACAACAAAATTAATGATGTTCTTTTTCTTTTGCCCCTGACTTTGAATTTCACTTTGTCCATTATTCTTTCTATTACTCTGGTTTTCTCCTCCACCCTTCTTATCCATTCAATTACCAAGTCTCAGTGACTAATATTTCATGACATAGCTTGCATCAGATTCTCACCTTCTATTCCCATTAACACTTTCTTACTCTACACTCCAATTAAACTACACCTGAAGCACTGTCATCAAATTTCATTTTGTCTCTTACTTTGAACCTTTCTCCTTTTCTTCTTTAATAACTATTTGCTCTGAATCAGTTTCTGGAGTAGTGCTTTAACTATTACAGTAATATTCAAAGTTCTCTGAGGAAAAATGTTTCTTAACCTGGTATCCATAGTTTCACTGGAATCTAGCTAAGGTAGGATTTATATCTGACTATTCTACATGAACCCCTATATATAATAACCAAGAGTAAGCTCATATTTCTTTCTTCCTTTCATTTATCTATTGTCAAATTATTGATTCATTTGTTTAGCATCTATTTTTGCATAAACACTAAGTGTTGGAATTATCAAGTTTAAAAGGGCATATTCCTTGTCTCAATGAACTTTCACTCTATTTAGGAGAATGTCAAATTAACAATTAAGACTATGACAACATTGAATCTGCCTTTGATGTATGCATCAGAATCTGGTAGATTCATAAGCCTAGGAAGTATCCAGAAGGAATTCACTCTGGAGCTGGATTTTAAAGAACAAGTAAGTATTTGTTAAAAGATGAAGGCAAGTCGAAGACAGCATATTGACAGGCATACAAAGAACAGTCTACCCAAGAAATCTGGAAGACAGAAGAGACTACAGTGGGTAGAATGCAGTGACAGAGTTTGAGACAGTGCAGGATTACGGCCACAAGAGACTCAAGACATTGCAACTGAGAGTGTGAAGATTAATCTGAGAGCTCTGGAGAGTCATTAGAGAATTTTAATCACAGAGTAACACGCTTACATTTGTGTTTTTAAAATATATTTTTAGCAGCAGCTCACAGGGAAGTTTGTCTGGAGTGAGTAAATGAGGATGGGCAGATAGGAAGAGTACTATCTTGGAAATCACTGCAGAAACAGAAACAATAAAGAATGGTGGCACAAATTTAGGCATTGCCCAAAGGCAGGAATCAGGTAAAATAAAGATTAAAGAGCCCAAGTCTCTACAACTTCATTACTGATTGAACAGGGCAAAGAAGGACTGCACTAGTGTATCTTTCTTGAATTAGTCAAATTTTATTTTCTTTCATTTAGTTTTCTGGGTTCTCTGAAGTCTTCTTTAGGGCCGTGGTTCTTCATTTAGCTGCATTAGTAGCATTAGGGAATTTGTTACAAATTCAAAGTGTCAAGCATCTTTTCACACCCACTGGATCAGAAATTTGAGACCTGGGGTCCAGAAGTTTATGTTCTAACAAGAACTTCAGAGTCTTCTGATACACATGAAGAGTTTGAGAATCACTGTCTTTAGATACCTGAGCTCTCAGGACTCTGCACTGAGTACCGGTGACTTTACCACTTGCAACCTTGAACTACTTCTTTATGAGGTACTGTAGGTGTTATCTTTCTCTATTGCAGTAGTAAAGCCCTTGAATGTCAGTTCCTTATGCCAAAGCCTTTTGAGTCTTCATCATGAAGTCCAGCTTTGCATCCACTGTCTTCTCATAAGACAACCCAAGTGCATCCTATGCAGTAGTCATTGTAAAAATCATTTCCCTTTTTTGTTTGTTTGTTTTCTTTTTTTTTTTTTTTTGTCTGGTACCAGGGATCAAACTCGGGTCCTTTCACTTGTGAGGCAGGCACCAGAACCACTAAGCTAAATCCCCAGCCCCAAATCATTTCCTTTTTAGCATTTCCTTCTTTGCCGGCCTAGCTCTGCGGCTGGCAACTACATCATTTCCTGTTCCTTTTAAAGCCAACTTCTCAAGTCTCCTTCCTCAGCTTGATATTCCCTCTCTGTGCTTATACCAAATTGGCTTGTATATGTGTAAGTAGAGGAGAGGTGCTCAAAGGCTCCAAACACAAAGTAATAAGAAACACTAACTACTACAATTTGATTCACACACATTGTAAACATGCATTTAAATAGCATATTACACCCGATAAATATGTATAATTATTATATGTTAATTAAAAATTTAAAAAATTTAAGAACATGAAATATTAACTGCACAATTCTAACATTAGAAACTGTATATATAAATTGAATATCACAGGGTATCTCATAAACTTGTATAATAAAAGGAATTAAAAATAAATTTTAAAAAGCAAGGATTCTGCGTTCCCTTATAGAAATAATAATTTGATTTTAGATAAACTATGCATGATGGAATATTCTAATTCTTTGATTTTCAATCATCTTAAAACTTACTTAACTAGTTTAAGACAAAGATCTTTTTTTTTTGTTTGTTTTTGTTTTTTTGAGACAGGGTCTCACTATGTAGTTGAGACCGACCTGGAACTCACTATGTAGCCCAGGCTGGTCTCAAACTCACAGCAATCCTCCTGCCTCAGCCTCCTGAGTGCTGAGTGCTGGGATAACTAGTTTAAGACAAAGATCTTTTTTTTTTGTTTGTTTTTGTTTTTTTGAGACAGGGTCTCACTATGTAGTTGAGACCGACCTGGAACTCACTATGTAGCCCAGGCTGGTCTCAAACTCACAGCAATCCTCCTGCCTCAGCCTCCTGAGTGCTGGGATTACAGATGTGTAATCTGTGCATGTGCCACCACGCACAGCAATGAAAAAAATTTTTTAATGTTAGGCTAAGTTTGGAATTTCAGTTTGTTCTTATATAAGACTTTGTGCCTTGGGGAACACAAAGAGACAAGCAGATGAGGTAAAACTTTCCAAAGGCTCAGCTGGTATTTGCTGCACTTACTGAAGAATAAACAGAGAAGTGCTAGATTACTCTAGAATAGGTACTAGTATTACAAGGAAATTTTACTCATTGTAAGTGATAATAATAACAATAATGAAATCTTTTATTTCATTTTCTTGAAAGAAACTCCAGATCTATGTTTATGTAGTGGTAGTGGCTGTACAGCAATAATGACTTAATGTGTGACACCATGTGCTGTTATTTTAAACTTGTGAGTTCAGCTAATCTCCATAACACTAAAAATTAGGTACTATATTTTTCCCATTTCAAGATAAGAAAACTGAAATTTAGAGTACTTCAGCAATTTTTATAGAAACATACAATAATTTTTTTCCTCATTGAGTTTATTGGTACATTTTAGGGATACAGTACAGTTACATTCATTATTGGGATCTTGTACCTTTACATGACAGGTCTTGGCTCTCATTTTTCCCCCTTGTCCCGGCCTTCCTCTCACCCCCTCCCCTCCCCACTTACAAACATTTTATTTGCATTTTCTCATTTACTCCTGTTTTTTTCCTTTCCCTTATTAGCTTTCCCCTACCCTTCCCACTTTCCATACACCTTAAGCCCTTTTCTTCCTATTTCACATTGTCAAATATCTCATTAGGATCTTATGTACTATTACAGTTTATTCACACCAGAGAAACTATTCGGTATTTACACATGTGTGACTTACTTATTTCACTTACGAGTATATCCTCAATATGTATCCATTTTCTTATGAATGAATCTAATTTCTCATTCTTTATGGCTAATATTCCATTTTACAGAAAAATCACATCTTCTTTATCCAGTTTCCAACTGATGGGCAAATGGGCTGTTTCCAAGTTTTAGCTATTACAAACTGTGCTGCTATAAACATAGGTGCACATATATCAATGTGATATGATTCTTTTAATTCTTTTGGAAAGATGCCCAGCAGAGGGATGTCTGGGTCAAATGGAACCTCCAGTCCCAGCTCTTTGAGGTATCTCCATATTGATTTCCACAGTGGTTGCACTAGTCTATACTCCTACCAACAGTGAGAAGGATTTCTTTCTCCGCACAACCCTGCCAACATTTGTTATTGTGTGATTTCTTGATAGCAGCCGTTCTTTGTGGGGTGAGCTTGAAATCTCAGTGTTGTTTTCATCTGCATCTCTCAAATGACCGGTGATATGGAACATTTTTTCAGAAACATACAATAATTGATAGAATTGAGACTGGAATACGAGCACCTTTGCTCTTAATCATGTGCCTTGAAAGAGCACAGCTTTGGAGGAAAAGATTACATCCAATTTTTACTGCTAGTATAGCATATATCTCTATGGCTCACATTATTGCTAAATAAAATAAAGAAGAGGTGATTCTGTGTTTCAAATTGATGATTTAGTTGATTAAAATGTTATTTAATTAACTGATCTCATTACTAAAATAAATTTCATTGAAATACTGCAATATTTCCATATTTGGAAAGCTTGTCAACCTGTATTTATCATTACTTCTGAAAGTAGTCAGAAGGTATTTTGAGTTTCTACAAAATTCAAGGGAGTGTGCTCAGGATGAGGACCACCAGAAGTGGTTGATCAAGTTACAAATTGTATTTTTAAGGAACTTACATGTAATAGAATATAGAAGAGATGCTCATAAATAACAGTAAAAAATAAAAGGTATCATAAATATTATTCTACAGGACTTCCAAGGAGGAGTTTATTTTGGTACTATGGATATAGGGAGGATGCTGGAAGCAAAATCTGAAAACTAATTGGATTGGGGTTTCAAAGATTAATAGTATTCTAATATTATTTTTAATACTCTAAAATTACATAATTACATATAGAGTTACTTACAGTGAATATCAAAAACTGCTTGTTCTGAATAAAGTGTTTTCTGGCCAGATGGTCCATAATATGTCACAGAGCAGGTAAAGGGCATTTGTATATCAGCCTTGGTTGTCTTATACTCCAAGGATGAAGTCATGGTATATAATTGAGTAACTGGATCCATTTCCTTTTTAAAATTTATGACCACAACTGAAGGAAAAAAAAATAGACATTGTAAGGTTGTTCTCTGGAAAAGCACAATCCATTGAATATCATAACACCTTTCAGAAGTAGTTTTGTCCATCTAAATGCATTTAACAGAAGGGAAAAGTGAGATGCAGTAAAGTAGGATGTCTTTTCAAAACCATGAATCAGAGATCTACACAAAAATAGAAGAATCAAGGAATGGTGTCTCCCACTCACTTTAACTGACTTCTAGAACATACCACATATGGAAATAATTTTCTTTGCTCTTGATTCTTCTGTACAAGGACTAAAATGGTGTTTGAAAAATCACTTAATGATTTAGTGGATATTTAAAGCAAGAGAGCATAGAATCATCCATAAAAGGATTTAGATCTGGACAGTTTAAAGAATATCTAGAGAAGAGGAAAACAAAATGTATCTTCTGGATGTATTGCCAATCTCATACCCACCTCCTTCCAGGGGCTGCAGAAGTTTTCCATTCCTGTACCATGTGATGTTGCCAACTGGGTGACTGTCTTTTGAAATGCAGTCTCCCAACTGCAAAATAAGACAAAACAAAACAAATAATTCCCACCACTTTCTTCAAGGGTGTTTAATATTGCATGTTTTTCAAATAATATTATTTAGTAAAACTTAATCTGAGTCAAATAACTTGATCTTCTTCACCCAAATACTGACACACAAAGGAAAATTTGTCTATTTTAATTAGTGAAAATGAGGTAGTTGCTCAATATATGTGCTCTGTTATGGAACTCCAACATGACCTCTCCCCCTTTCAATACAATTTCCCTTAATACCTTTGCTAATGTGATTGTTCAAACCTGATCTTCTCACACCTTTATTTCAAATTTTCAATAGTTTCATTTGTCAACAGAACAAATCCCAAATTCCCCATGTGCCATGTAAGTCTTGTCATGATCCAGCCTCCCTTTACCTCTCCAGACGTATGTCTTACTGCATGCACTCTCTTGCCTTTTCAGCACCCAAAGTTTAAAAAGTTGAAAGGTGACATTCCCAGACATGCCCTTTTTTTCACATCCCATTTTTAAAAATATTGTTGGAGAGCCCTTTCTAACTTTTCTTCCTAAACAAAAACTCATCTGTAATCAACTTCATTAAACAAATAAGAAAAACTCCTCCGTTCAGAAACGACTACAGCTTTGTTAATGTCCCCACGGTCACAAGGGACACTGGATATCGTGTTCCCACTATGCCTCCTGCATGCTTTCTGACTGGCAGCAGCAATACTGTCACCTCCACAAGAACAAAGCCCATTTCATTTGTTCTGGTATCTGAAGTAGGAAAGGATACTTAACATCAGGCTAAGTAAAAGTAGTTAATTGAAACAAGTTCTCACCTTTTGTAGCTGCTCTGTTTCGAGAAATGGTGCTTTGCTTACAATTTCAGGTTTAGACGGTTGCTCTAAAGTCAAATAGAAAAAGATTTTATGTATACATGGAAAAAAACAAATGACATGAGTGATTTGGTTTACGTACGAAAAATTCATATACTCAAAGCAGAAGAATGAACATCAGAATAAAGAATAGATTTCTTTAGACAATCTGGATTTAAGAAATTGAGTAGGTCTTGCCCCTCTAGATATTTGCTTTATTATCTTTAATATTGTTTTAAGTGCTTATTAGCCATTTGAATAAAATATTCTTAATGTTTGTTGAATGTTTCATAAGCAGTGAATATGTAATAAATAGTGGAACCAAAGCTAATGCATAAATATGATCGTGGGGAATTTCTACTTTTGATAACTTTCAATTCATTAGGTAAAGATTATAATTCACATGCATCACCATCAGAGACACTTGCTTCAAGTGCGTATTTCTGACTGCTTATAGAATCAGAATCTCTAGGGGAAGTGACATCAATCTATGTGATTAACAGTTTCCTACGGGAGTCTTGGGCACAATGAAGCAAGAAACTTTTTTCTAAAACAATGGTAAAGCTAGTTAAGGATGTAGAAGCCAGAATTTTCCAAATAATGCAAATGTTTATCTTCTAATTCAAGTTACATCATGAAGTTATAGGGAGATTGTTGATATTTAAAATCTGAAATGATGGACAGAAATATACAGAAAGTTCCATAAACAAATTCTAATAGAGGATTCAGGACCATTAAGAATTGCAGCAGCAATTTCTTATTCAAACTAATTTTAAATTATTTTACTCTTATCTGCTAGTTTTTTATCATTGATGAATTCCATACTTTTTGAGTAGCTCCAACTTTTCATTTACAGAAAGTTGCCTTACTGGTCACCAATATTTGTATCTCACTGAACACAATTATTCTATCTTCATTTACACAAACAAATAGGAAAATCAGCTATTTTCTTTTACAATTTTATTTTACCATCTCCAATACTTTATATTTTGATTACTGAAAGAAATTAAACTATATTAGCTTTTGTATAATTATTACTAAACTTGGAATTCAGTTACTGGACATGTACATACTCAGAACATTACAGAAATCAAGGACAAAGATAAAAAACTCTGACATAGCAAAACACATCAGTGTACAAAAAAAAATACAATCATATTTAGGTGAAAATTAAGATATAATTTCCCCTTTGCAAGTAAGTTTTATAATTTAGAACAATGGATACAATAAATCTGCCAGTGTATTGAACTCATGCACTTTAATTAAAAAGGTCATTTTACTATTAATTCTAGAAACACAATTTTTGCAGTGATGACTATCTAGTTCCCAAATACAATTGGAAACAAACCATAAGACAGAAAAAAGAGTATAAATGAATAGAAAGTCAGGATAAAACAATTAATAAAAACAAGAAGTGACCCCCCGATTAACAGATTGTTAGGAAAGTGAATACAAAGTTATAAAAATTTTTTACCGCAAGACTCACTAAAAATAGACACCAGTTTTCAGGAAATATAAGGTGTGGAGCTTAAGGGCTTTTCCATACACTGATGTTATCACTACAAAATGGAATGCTATAAAAATGAAAACTGAGTTATTTATAAAAATATGAATCTACATTTGAGAGGAAAATAGCTTATGTATTTGAGAAAAGAATGCATCAAGAATATTAAAACAGAATAAAAATTCTTGTTGCATAAGTAAGCCAAATTGGACATTAAAATCAGTCTTTTACCTATTTTTTTGTTGTTGTTGTTTTTTTGGTGGGGGGACCAGGGATTGAACTCAGGTCCTTGCGCTTGCGAGGCTGGCGCTGGAATCACTGAGCTAAATCCCCTTGAAAATAATGTTAGAACAGCAGCATGTAAAAAAATGCCAGATACTGATACCAATGATATGAAATGCACAGAATAGATAAATCTTTAGCTGCATAAGGTGAATTAGTGGCTTCCTATGGCTAGATAGGTCAGGAGGGCAGATAACAGAATGCATAATGATGACTAGTGCCTATGGATTTCTTCTGATAGGGACAAAAATGTTTGAAAGTTTTAGACTTCTTAAAATTGTTTTTATTTAGGATTTCTTTAAATTTATTTCAGCAATACTTTACAGTTTTGGTGTTAAATTAGATTGGGAAGCAGAATGCACAACACCCCTGAATGCATTACCAAAATGGAATTGTACGCTTTAGGTGAAATTAACATTATGTCAATTATGTGTTAATAAATATCTCAAAAATTGAAAAAAAATCAATCTTTTAGTGACACCCTCTCAGAAAGCTCAAGACGCATAGGTAGTAAGTTAAACTATGTCAATTATGTGTTAATAAATATCTCAAAAATTGAAAAAAAAATCAATCTTTTAGTGACACCCTCTCAGAAAGCTCAAGACGCATAGGTAGTAAGTTAATTTTATTCAGTCAAATGAGAATGAAAAGTAACAGGAAGAAAAGGAAAAATAATTTTAGTTTCTCCCTCAATAGTATTTTGCTAGAAAATGTGGAGAGATTTGAACCTCTCCCATAAGTTTAAGATTAAAATATAAAGATTTAGTGGGCAGTTTTGCCAAGTTTTACTCCTTCCAATGGAAGTGAAATATGAAGACATTTAGACACATCCTTTTATCAGACAGAATGTATACCTTGCTCTGTTTTGTAACACTGTGATGTGTTGCATCAGTGTAAATTTAATCACAAATACTTGTGTTACAGCCCTTGGTTCTTTTCACATGGTAATGTATACTTTGTTTCTATAAGTACTTCCTAGAATTATCTTCTATTTCAATAGCAGTTTTTCAAAAGAATCTTAATGCTTTGTCCTCTTTACATTTTTAGTCATTTTTGTCTTTGGGAGAGAGTAAGCACTGTAAAAATAATGGCAATACCTCCTGCATTTAGTTGAGTTATTTTCTTCTTAAACTTTTGTTTCAAACCCTCCATATTCACCATATATTTTGTATATAGTTTTCTCTTATATTAGATTGTAACAATCGATGCATATTAGTTGGAGGACTATAAAAGAGGACACATACTATTTTAGCAAAATTGCATATTGATTCTAAAGCACTTTTAAAAAACTTTATATGAATTATGTCTTAATATGATTCAAGAATTTATAATCAACTATAAAAAAGAACTGCCACAAATTCACTTGCATTATTAAAGTCATTTAGTTAACCATACTAGTTTAAAAATAAGCCAAATTTTGCTTCTGAACATTCGTGGGTAAACTCTGTAAGAATTGCTCAACTAAACCATTATCACATGACATAACCATGTTTTAGTTCATTTTCTTCTTTTTTGCTGACATGGCTATTTCTACTGAGCTAGCTAGAAGCTATATTATTATCACAGGACTACCTGAAAATACAGTTCTTTGTAAGGATGGAGGGAGAGAGGGAGATGGAAAGGAGAGGCATGGAGGGAAGAAAAAGGGGAAGGAGGGGAAGGAGGGAAAAAGAGGGAGGGGGAGAGACAGAGATAAGAGAATGGGAATGAATGGGTGTGCATGTTGAAGTGTTGGAGGAGGGACAGCCAAACAGTGTCCTTATGTGTATGTATTGATCCTTATGCATGTATATTGAATCTATAGCCATGGTATAGAATAATAAGACAGAAATTTTCTTTTTTAAAAATTATTTCTTTTTTAAGCAGATTATAAGTTTTTCACTAATATCCTTTGATTAGTGAAGTCTTATCACAAATAACTGAAAGCTAAGCTACATTTACTGTCCAGTGCAATTTGAAACATTTCACAAACAAAGAAGCCTTACTTTTCCTTCTACTTTTTCTTTTTTATATCAGTGAGGAGAAATTATACAGGTGATTACTTTGCTAGAGAAGAAAGAAACTGTGGTAAGGAGATGGAGATTGATTAAGAATAAATATAGATCATCTAAATTAATGATCTCTTTTTGCTCTAAAACACAGACGATCGCTAATGAACACTGTGAACACTGGCCTTCAGAAAAACTAAAAATCAATTAAGTTACTAACTTACTTATGGTTTTTGACAACTAGTTATCTCAAAGCCACGTGAAGATGTAATGATTCATGAAAAACTGCTTTATATCTCCCACCGTGTACAAGTGCTACTCTCAGTGCAAAGTAGCAATCCAGCCTCAAAAGCAAGAGGTATTTTAAGTAAAAAATTGTATCCCTGGAATAATGCTATATTTTCCTCATTGGATGGGGGATTTTTTTTTAAAAAGAACCAAACCAAAATAAAAATTTATGTTGTATTATACAGATCATTTTCTGCTTCTTTCTTGCCTAAAATACTATTTTCAGGTTGACTTAACTTTCCTGGGGTTTCTCAAATTGAAGAGGGAATCTCAGTTCTGATAAAGCATTGAAAGAAGTATCCAAATGAACAGTATCCAGATAAAAAACAAAACAAAACAAAACAAAAACACCTTTGAGGTAACTGTGTGAAACCAACATGCACCATAAGAAGCACTGGGCCACCAAGACATCAAACCAGGTCGTGAGAATAGTCTTCCTTTAATACCACAGAACACCACTGGAGTAGAGGAAGCTTGTAAAAGTAGCATGGTTTGTGGTATTCAAATGCTTTTCCAGAGCTGTGCCCCTTTTATAGACGGGTACTCACAATGTTGCCAAAGCTGGTACAATCCTCCTGCCTTTCCTTCTGGGACTACCTTTCTTTTATAAACAATTTATCATGAATAACTAAAAATTTTAATACACAAATTTCTGGCTAAATGAACAAAGACAGCTTCTTATCTTCTCAAACTCTCTTCATTAGCTTTCTAGGAGGATCCAGAAACAATGAAAAAAGTTCCGTCTGTTCTAAAACATTCATTTTGTTGATGAGATCAGTTTAACCCCAGACTGGTGAAGAGACTTTCCCAAAGACAGAAATTAGTAGCAGCTCTGACAAAACAAAGTCTTCTGGTGACCAGCTCAGTAATTTTTCCACTTCACCACCGACAACTGGTTGGCTCTCTGGGAAACCATTTGATCTTTGAGCCTTCTGCACAATCACTGGAATGAATTACTGGGAGATTTTTAAAGGTCTATTCTTGTTTCTTAATGATTTTACTAGCCCCAAGTGTGCACTAAATGCAAATATAGTTTGATTTTGATGCCATTCAATTAAAATGAAAAAATACAAAGCTGATAAGGGATGACAAAGCATATCACGTATTTGTATCCGGGCTGGCCTACGGGTTTAAAAGCAAATGGACACATTTATATTACTGGTAACATAAGCAGTCACAGCCTCTAGTTTGAATAAAACAATTTGACTTTGCCTGTGAGGATGGTAATGAGTGGAAGGCTGACTCCATTTTGTGGTAGATGGCACATGTTGCTAGGTGATTCAAAAGAGAGAAACAGAGGACTGATTGAGGAGCCTGGTAACTCTTAGGAGACTTCAGTATATACACGCTCATGATGAAAGCCTCCCTGCCACAGCTGCTGTTTGCTTTACAAAGAGTGAAAGTAAATTCATTATTTAAAAAAAAAGCAAAGCCCCTGTATGATCTTACAAACACTGCAGAATAAACTATGTTGCTCATTTTATTGGATTTGGAGGGTCTCATGGTTTCTATTGTAAAATACCATTTTCAAGGGTACATACTTGTCTATGTAAATTCTCCCTGGCCCACAGCCTGGAATGCAAATTCTGCTTCTGAGAATCACTGTGTTTTCAACAACTTTCAAAAGAAAAGGGGGCAGGAGTACTGGCAGCATATGAGGTATGAGTTTGTTTATAAAATCATAGGAATCCTTTGTAGTATAAAATGACTTACACATTTTATTGAAATAGATCACTGAATTACAGATTTATGCATGGCATTTTTTAAAAAGTGAATTTTGAGAATGTCACAAATAATTCTCTTAAATGTAACAACCTGGATTTCTCAACTTTCTTGTATATATACTATTTTGATATTCAATAATTTTAACACAGTATATAAGAAATCCAAGAATGACAAATTATTAAATATGATTATCTCAATATCTCTTCCTGCTAAGGCATATTCTTAATATCTGGCTATATTTATAAGATCATGGCCTATAATTTTAAGTTTTTTTTTCTTTTTTTATAAAAACTATCCCAAGCAGTGCATCATCCACCTTTCTAATGACATGAAAATGTAAAGAAAAGAAAAAAAAAA